TTGTCTGCCTCATTTCACCATTCAGGTATGTACAATCATCAGTCAGAGTAGGTAGGTATGTGTATATACCTTATTGACTGAACTTGACTTATTTTGATCCACAATCAACTAGCAGATCATAGCTGTATTGTTAATATCTTGTGACAGAGCAGTAATATGTAGAATGGAGAATAACAAGAGATTTCAAGAATAAAACATCATGGTGGGCATAACATCTCTCAGGGCAACCCCTCCTCTACTTGCTACCTTTATCTCATTGGAGATTCCTTACCTCTGAGTGAGTTATTAGGAGATTGAACTAATAGGATATGAGCCATATAGACAGGTATATAGGGTGCCTAAAAATATGAGTGGCTTGTAGGGCTATCAGGGATGTCCATCTAACCATAGCAAAACTGACCCCATGGTCATCCATGCATTTCTTACCTAGATATCAGGTCATCATTATACCTGGTCAAATTTAAGGTACCAAAACTACAGAAAAGTGATATAACAGTATATTCTAAAGGCATGGGACTATGGTCATATCAGATCATATTAAGACAATATTACCACCTACCTACTAGTGAAATAATAATGTGAATCCATAGAGAACTGCCAGAGATATAGCCAGATCAAAATGTCTGATAGATAATCATGAGGCAGTATGGGTATGCTGATGACATGGTACTGATGGGGATATTGACCCTCCCATTCAAGTATCCTTAGTAATACTTCAATTAGCTTTGTAGCTACTCTAGTTATTGAGATATCATTTAATCAGTTGTAGATCAGCTAGTGATTGGCTTGTGCTGGCACAACTATTCAGCTGCTACTATACATCACTTAATGAATGTTGTTTGTATAGATAGAGAACTATCATTTTGTGACAATTCTCTGACGATTGGACTATTAAATGGTGAAATTTTCCTTTTTTGGAAATCTGATATATCACTCTATACAACTGTGAAAAGGCATTGCACAGCCACTGAAACATCAGTTCCAATGCCTATCGATAAAATTTCCTTCTGGGACCATGTGTCACACATGTCACATAACAGGACTTCTGGGGACCTGGTCATTGTATTATTCACCTTTATTCACCCCTTACATACTGGACTTAGTACGAATTTTGCCTTAGAGCTCAACTTTATTCACCCCTCTCCCCAGTAATTATTCACCTCAGGGGATGTTCTGAAAATACTGAGCCTTGTCAATGGCACCCCGGCGGGTTACCATTGATAACTCACAGTATTCTGTGGGCTAAACAGGTGCGACCGGATCGCCACTGGTGTTGCTGAAGCCAAGGCTGCGCTCACAAAGGCCAAGGAGGAGTACAAACGCTACTATGACCGGAGACGCACTCCGTCTCCGGCGTTTAAGGTTGGCGACCATGTTTGGCTGGATGCCTCTGACATCAGGACGACTCGCCCCTCGGAAAAGTTCTCCCATCGCCGCCTCGGACCATTCAAGATAGTCGCGGAGATCAGCAAAGGTGCCTACAAGCTCGACCTCCCTCCGTGCTACTCGAAGCTCCACCCGGTCTTCCCCGTCGTCAAGCTCGCGCAGGACGACCCCCTTCGATGGATGCCCCGGCTACGACCAGCCCCCTCCGGACCTCGAGGACGGAGTCCCGGAGTGGGAAGTAGAGGAAATCTTGGATGCAAGGGTGAGGTATAAACGGCTGAACCACTTCGTCAGATGGAAAGGCTACGACGCGTCCGCACGACCAGTGGGTCCGCTTCGACTACGTCTTCGCCCCGGAGAGAATCGCGGAGTTCTATCGTAAGTACCCTGGCAAACCACGACACATCGCCTCCGCGACCTTCGACTCGATTCCGTTCCGGTCTATGCGTCGGGACGCCGCATTCAAAGGGGGGGTGATGTCAGGGGAACCTCCCTTTCGGCGCGGAGACGCGTCCGATTCCGGTCCGTTCCGGTTCCGACTCCGGTCCGGCCCTCCATCTCGCCCGCACAATCACCGATCTGTCAACGCCCTCCCGATGGTCGCCCGGGGACCTCGCCTGCGACGCCGCGACGCCGCCCAAGCCTTCTGTGCCCGACAGCGGCAGCTACGGACAAGCAGTATATAGTCAGCTCCCTAGCAGGCGGACCCTTAGAGTTTCTTCTCTTTGGATCCTCCCCTGCTAGGTCAGCTTCATTTGTATTCACTTACCAATGTTCACGCTTTGGATCCTCCCCTGCTAGGACCTTGATCTCAGGCCTCCGGGGTTGCCTTTACAATAATAACTATTGCAGGGATGAACAAACAAACGGGCCATCTGGACAAAGAAGTGGAGATTGCAATCACATGCAGTAAAAGTGGAGATTGCAGTAGCATGCAGTGGTGAAGTTTAATATCGCGACAGAGGCAGATCTTGCAAATAGGACAAGAGGGTGCATTGCCGACATGCGACTGGACTGTTGAGAGGTGATAGGATCAAAATGATGATATCATTTGTTGTGGTTTATTTAGATTTGCACGATGTGATGTGGGAATTAAGACCGTGGGGGACCTTGCAAAGCAAGGTGAAAAACATCCATGGTGTCACGGATAAGACCCGGCCCGTCCGCTCCAGCGCTGGTGTCGGGCCATCGCGGGCCCGTAGCACGCAGCACGTGACGACGGGGAACATGCGCCCCAGTAGGAGGAACGCACACGTGGGAAGCACGTGACCGAGAACGACGCGTCGAGCCGTCGCCGAGCCCAACTCAACACAAGGGGACTGGGGAGGAGTGCTAGGAGGTCAGGAGTAGCGCCTGGCCCGCAAGGGATGTACGATCGTCCCCTCTGCGGCCAGGAACGGGAGCGAGGAGGAGGAGGAGAGGCCAGGGTGTCCGATCACCCCCTTTGCGGGCCCGCGTATATAAAGCGCGATAGTGTACCCTGTACTCTATCGCTTACTGTACTATTTAGATCAAGTGTCCGCCGCGTGTAACGCGTAACGGACACTGTCCGCTGGACAAGGTGTCTGGATTCCCAAAAAAGGCAAGTCCGGCGTCAGCCGGACCGAAAAATTTCCTTTTTCGGCCTGTTTTTGATGGGAATCCGGCCTTGAACGTGTAACGGAGACCACAAGTGTCCGCGCCGGCGACCGCGTGTAACGTGTAACGCGGACACTTGATCTAAATAGTACAGTAGATCGTCTGAAGAACTACCTTACTCCGTGCAAGGAGACGCTGTCGACTCATCGGGCCCGACACGACCCGATTCGAACCTTCGACCACCGACTACGGCAAGGGACCGAGTTCACGGGCCCTTTCGGTTTCGATCTACCCCGCCCGCCGTACTTGCGGGCCCGACTATCCGTCTGTTCTGTTCCGGGCGCGCGTTCTTAGGAGAAGTCCTTGCACGGCCCGACCCGCAGTCTGACACATGGCATATGTCTAATTGGTTTTCAAGTGTGGCCAGTAAGCAATACCTAGTCATCTGCTTCTTTATTCTCCTACTCTGCCAAACTCCATAACTCTTCATCTTCCCACTCTCGCTCGTCATCCACTATGTCCTCGGCAACCAGCACCTGCACTCCTCCAAGTACCCGAGCAGGGCACAGGAGCCGGATTTTGAGCCCAGTTGGTTGGCTCCCATCCTCACTGTCCGTTGCTCCCTCTTCCTCTATGTCACTTTCAACCTTGGGATACTTATGGCTCTGAATCCGCTTTGTCAGCTGGCAAATGTGACTGAAGCTCATTCACCAGGCCCCTTGTTCTTGTTGTCTTGTTAACAAAATACCTGAGAGCGCCTGATATCTGGCCTTAAATCATTCAACATTTCACCATGTGTAATACCTTCCTGGTTGGCAAAAGTGAAGCTAGGGCTCATGGGAAACACCAAGTAGTTTGCGGATTTCGAGTGTGAGATCAGGGTGAGTGTGGTGGCCTGAACTTTGCACCAGACCAACAATGTCACAAAGGTCCATTTTGATGCACAAGAAATGGTGAATGTTGGGTGAAATCACATTTCGGATGAAAGAGCCCCCAAATTCTTTCCCTTTTTTGGAGATGATAGCCTCCGATGAAGCCAGCAAAGTAGACACCTTCCTGGCAGACTGTTGGTTAGCCTTTGAGGCCAATGTGAATGTCTACAACGACGAGGTATGAAAGATCTTGTATGCTCTCTCTTACATCAAAGGGGGAAATGTGCTCACATGGAAAGAGAATGTTTCCCAAGCCATGAAGCTCTGCACTGCCGAAGCTTACACTACATATGAAGGCTTCGAAAAAGCCTTTATCACGGCCTTATGAGGGGAGGCCCATGCCGAGATCGCGCAGCAGAAGATGGAGACCCACGTCCAAACCAAAGACATGGATGCAACCAGTTATTTCACCGTACTCGACTCTCTCAACAAAGTCGTGCACTACGAAACGTCAACCTCAATTCGCATCGCCAAGAACGGCATGCTTCGGACCGTTACAAACACAGTCTATCAGAAGGATACACTCCCCGACACTTACGAGGCCTGGAAGGCAGAAGCCATCAAACAAGATGGCACGCTCTGCCGCTACCGCATCTTTGACGAGAGTCATAAGATCAATGACCCGCGGGCCAAGACGCCCCCGACGGCGCCCGCCCCCCGCGAAGAGCGGATTCAGTAATCACAACCCATTCAAAGGATGGGCCCGTAACGCAGCGATTAGCGCCACCGGACCGGCCGTGGCCGCACCCCGAGGAAACGGGGCAACCACGGGACAGAGAGAGGAACAAGGTAACCAGAGTTCAGAGTCACCTATAGAAAATTCAGAGCAAAGCAGCTTATTACAGAGTTTTTCATGCCAGAGTGTAACAGGCCAGTCTTATAGCCGTAATATATCTGCTATCAGTAATTCCAGCCAGTTTGTGGAAAGGAAAGAGCATGATATCAGCCCATTTGTCGTAGATTATTATCTGTACCTGCACAGAGGGCTGTCTGAATTTTTCTTTGGAAACAGCCCTATATAGATATATATATGCACTTTCACGATTGTACCTACTTATAGACGGTTTTTTGAGCTTACAGACTTTGACAACTCCTCCTCGCCACTCAGTCGTCCCATCCGATGCTCCGCGTCATATACCGGTGAAATCCCTCGACGCCATGTCGGTCCCACTCACCCACCCCAAACATGCTGTCCAGCTCCTCGTACCCCGCAGGCTTCCGGAAGCGGATGACATCGTCATCCAGCTCGCGCACGACAACGTCCCGATTACCCAGCAAGGCCCTCCACGTCTGGGCACCGGCGCAGGTACCAAGCACCAGCGTGCACAGATTCGTTAGCGGCGAGGCCCACGACACGAGCAGTGTGCGCCAGTGGTCCCTATCGGCCTCTCCGGGCGTCCAGCCGGACAGGATGAGGGTGTCGACGGACTCCAGCGCAGTTTTGAGTGCCACGAGCGGCACTGGGAGGTCCCGGACACTGCCGATGGCGGCAATCACGCGGGCTGCGGAAGCGGAGCCCATCCCGTCGACGTGCCATGCCAGTGTTAGCTCGCGGGCCGCGCCGTCATCAGCAGTGAACTGGAAGGTGAGATCGACGTGCTCGCGTGTCTGGCCGGGCGGCTGGCAGCGGACCGGCGCGATTGAGGTTTCGCGCTGGAGCCGCAGACGCGTGCGCTGGTTTGCATAGGCGAAGTGGCGCTGCAGCGTCGTGGCGATGAACTCGTGGAGGTGCTGGGTTTTAATAGGCACCCGAAATAGGTTGACCGTGCAGCGTTCCAGTGCCGGGAGAGACAGCGCAGAAAGTAGAGTCCCAGTTCGGATGGCGATGTCCTCGTCGGAAAAGTCAGTCACAAATAGGAAGCGGAGGGCAGGAAGGACAGTCTGCGATGGTGGCACGTCAGTGATATCGGGCGTCCAGAACTGGCGCCGGAGAGTGATTTTGACCGTCACGAGACGCGTAAGCGGGGCAAGGAGGCGCAGGAGCGCAGCGTCAGGCGAGCCAACGGTGAGATCGAGCGTCGTCAGCTGTGCACCGGTCATGCCGAGAATGTTCGGCAGCGGGGAGTTGAGCATAAGTGACTGCAGCCGCGGATAACCGCTCGCCTCCGCCCCCAGCAGAGGTAGATCACGCTTCGCGTCGGTGCGGAGCCGCAGCGCAATCAACCGGGGAAACCCGCCGGCCAGGGCACGCTCCAAGCGCTGCGTTGGCTGCTCCGGAAGTAACACACTAAGGGCTTTGATCTGCTCCGCGTGTCCCTCTAACACATCCACCAAGCGCACCTCCAGATCGATGTCCTGTCCGCGCTGAATATCGGCCTCGACGACGAGAAGGCTCGATTTGGCGCGGCGGAGAGAGCGGCGCATCCAGAGGGTCGAAGAAAGGTTGACACGCGCCCAGAGCGACGGTGTGTCGAGCGCGAGCTGGCGCCACGTCACACAAACCCGGCTGCATTCGACATAGCAGTAGACTGTGGCGTCGCCATCGTTGTCCCCGTGTGCATAGGAGAATATTTCGAGGAGAACGTCGGAGGGGAGCACGTTTATCGGCGCCTGGAATTGGTCGGTGGGGATGGAATGACATGCGTCCCATGTCTCCTCGCTGGATGTCGTTGACGCCTGCTTCTTCGGCGCGGTGTCCTTCCTTCTGAAAGCTAGTCCGAAATGAGCATGTTATGAAAGAGGGGGGGAGACGACGCACCCTTGCCCAGCGCCTTCACGGCCTTCATCGCGGTCGAGAGGAAGTCGCGAATGTCGAGATGATGGTTGTTGATCGGCAGCTGACCGTGGGAACGACAACGATCATGATCGCACAGCGCCAATCATCCTGGCGTGGGAACGTCAATGGCACTTGCTTCCGTCGCTCATGTCCTGGATGCAGATGTTTGCCCCGCACCAGCGAGCGCCTTCTGGCTTCACGATCTGGGGCGGCCGACATCTCAACGCTCAACACCGGCACCCGCATGCCTGTTCTTTTCGTACTCATATTCAGTCCATGGACAGGGGGTCGATTGCTGACGCCTGCGGCCTGTCTCAGTAAACAAGACCGATATAAATGCATCCCTCCGCCCCTTGTTGTCTCCCCTTCCTTTCTGCGACCATGGACACGACCGACTTCAAGACGCCACTCGTCGCTGCGCTCATCCTCGGTGTCGCTGTCTCGCTGTTCAGGGCACAGCAGCGTGAATGGGTGCGTACGGTTATGCCCCACTGTTCGATATTCAGCCGTGTTCAGGCCCGCGACAAGGCTGTTCCCGCTGTGGGCAATGCCGCACACAACCCGCTCGCGTACTACCTCGACCTCGTGCGCTTCCTCGGGGACGCACGGGGCATGCTCGCCGCGGCGTACGCGAAGAATCCCACGGGCGTGGTCCGCTTCCCGACGATGTTCCGCTGGGAGTACGTGGCGAATGGCGCAAAGCATGCGGCAGAGATCGCGGCGGTAAGCGACGACGTGTTGAGCTTCCACGATGCCGTGTCTGATGTGCGCATCCTCTCCTTCAAGTTCATTGTTTAAAACTCATGTGTGTGCAGCAACTGCAAATTATGTGGACCATGGGCCCGATCCTCGTTCACCCGTGGCACATCAATGCCGTCAGGACAAGCATGACACGCAACCTGGGCCGGTGCTTCCCTGCAGTGCGCGACGAGATTGTGCATTCCTTCGACGACGTCCTGGGTCTCCGAGGCACAGGTTCGTTGCCCCTTTATCAAGAACGATGTCTCACGCTAGTCTGATCAGAATGGACGACGCTCCCGTTCCTGCCTGCCGCGATGCAGATCGTCTCGCGCGTGAGCAACCGAATGTTCGTCGGGCTTCCCTTATGTCTGTCTCTCTTCTATCGCTGGATGTCAAGCTGATTTCTTGAAGGCCGGAACCCCGATTTTGTGCAGCTGAACATCGATTACACCATTTCCGTCTTCGCGCGCGGCCAGATCCTCAGGATGTTCCCCGAGTTCATGAAGCCGCACGTCTCTCTCCATCGCCATGTCATTCCACCCCTGACGAACTCTCCAGGATCGTCGCGCCGCTGCTGTCCTCGCGGAAGCGCTCCCTCCGCTACGCTTTGAAGTTCCTCGGGCCGATATTGCAGGAACGCATCGACGCGGAGAATGCATGTGTGCAAGACAGGAAGGATCGCCCAGTGGGTTTTGCTTCATCGGGTCATATATATTTTTAAAACGTCTCAGAACGATCTGATCTCGTGGCTGCTCGAGCACTGTCCGGCGGACCAGCGTAACCCGGCCAACCTCGCGATGCGCATCCTCGCGATCAACATGGCTGCGATCCACACCTCTTCGACGGTCCGTCGCTGCCTCCACTGAGTTGCTTGATGATCTGACGGGCTTTTAGACGCTCACCTCGGCGCTGTTCGACCTGACGGTCCACCCGGAGTACATTGCGCCGCTGCGCGAGGAGGCGGAGCGCGTCGTCAACAAGGAGGGGTGGACCAAGGCCGCGCTCGGGAGTATGCACAAGATCGACAGCTTCCTGCGGGAGAGCCAGCGGCTGAGCGGGACCGGCCCCGGTCCGTCACTCTTCGTCTATCCTGTTTATCTTAGATGGGCTGACTTTTGCGGCAGTCAGCATGGGCCGCAAGGTCGTCGCGCGGGAGGGGTTCTCCTTCGCGGACGGGACGCATATTCCGTGCGGCGCGGTGGTTAACATGGCGGGGTGGAGCTCACATACGGACCCAGGTGTGTACCAGCCTGCTGCACTGTCTGTTGTGATGACGATTCATTTTACAGCGCACTACGAAAACCCGCTTGAGTTCGACGCCTTCCGGTTCTCCGGCATGCGCGAGGCGGACGCCGACAGGAAGAGCCCCACGAAGCTCTTTGCGCGGCAGATGGTGTCCACGAACCCGGAGCACATCGTGTTCGGGCACGGCCGGCACGCGTGTCCGGGGCGCTTCTTTGCCGCGACGGAGCTCAAGGCGATGCTCGCGCACATGCTCATCGAGTACGACGTTGAGGCGGTCGTCCCGGGCGAGGCGGGCCGGCCGCGCGACGTCGAGTTTGCGCTGCTGAGGATGCCGAGCATGAGCGGCGAGGTGCGCATTCGTCGGCGGGAGAAGGTGTAGGGTTACACGGGATTTCTGTCCAGGTGCAGTTATGGACGTGAGATTACAGTTACCTCATGTAGGGTGCAGGCAGGATTGAACTCTGAATTGAATTCCCATTTGAAAACAGTTGTTTCAAAACACTGTTTTGCATTCTTCAGGAAAAACATGACTGAGTATAGTTATATTTGTGAATATACATAGCATTAGTGTATAGGGCATGTAGATCTTAAGATTTCGTAGGCTAACTAACACAGATAAGCTAAAACCCATAGTCTTCCACAAATTGAAGCAACATCATAACCCAGTCTGTCTAGTTATTATTACTCTTATATTAACCAGATGTCGTGTGAATGTATGCACATGTTTGGCACTGGCCTCAGTAATTCATTTGCTCCACATTTCCTTTTTTGGCGTCACTGCTGTTAAAGCCCCAAATTGGGAACAAAAGCTGTAAAATGTGACCAATCCTAATTGGGATACAAAGCTGTACATGATATCTTGCACCCAGCACCATAAAAACCTCATATCTCGGGCTATTTACTATGCTGACACTTAAGTGTACTAACTACTCTCACAAATCAATAACTAAGCATATAATAAAGTTTATTGACTGGCGTTGCAATCTATGTAGATGATAGTAGACCAGGAGGGTTATTTTGCACCTGTGTGCTATTCTGTAATTAGTGGGTCTTTTTTAGATTAGAAATTCACTTGATTTAAGGAGCATTCAAAGCTGGGGCGTAGCCCCAGCCCTGTCTAGTAGTATTTATGTATATGTACTGTGAACTCGAATGGTCTTCTTGCTGCATATTCATCAGGCTGTGCAATAGATAGATAAGATGGATCAGGCTCTTGCAAACTCCAGATTGAGAGGGAGAGCAATAATGGACCCAAACCTTGTCCTGTGGTCTAGACACACACAACCTCTTCCTCCTAAAGAGTATGATAGGTAAGCCCTACACAATTGCATGTGTAAAGGCATTACCCCGGCCCGGCATTTGTCTCCCCCTCTTCCTCTCCCGAGTCCCCGTTGGGTGATAACCCCTTCCTTATTTCATTTTTATGTATGTTTTTTCCTTGGAGCCCCCGGCCATGCTTGTCAGGAATTGATGGCGGTCCGCCCCAGCCTCCGGCCCGTGATAATGATCTCCATAGGAGTTCCGGGAGTGTCAGCAGGTACATTACATTTACATATACTAGTACTGACACCTTTTTCCGTTGCCCCTCAGTCTTTGATCCCATATAGCGGGAGACTGAGGGTATGTTACTTTACTTACTTAACTTATATAAATACTTACTGTACTTAGTTACTGCGCTTTCCGCGCATTTACAGGTAGTTAATACAGTCTTTGATCCCATATAGCGGGAGACTGAGGTTACTGCGCTTTCCGCGCATTTACAGATTTTGACAGGTTATGGGCCCTGGAGCGCTACAGCTCTGACAACATACTTGCTCTTATCAAGACTCACTGCTCGCTCTTGAAGCTAGAAGCATTTAGAAAATATTCTGCACCATCTAGGTTCTTTGCTATGGAGACTTCTAAGGTCAAATTGGCTGGAGCTTCTGATTGGCCTGCATTCAAACGTTTAGCTATAAATGAACTTCGTACTTCTGGTGTCTACACTCTGATAGCAACAGTCATCCAGGCTACAACTCCTGCTGATGCTACTGCTGCAGTCCCTGCTGCAACTCCTACTGCTGGGTCAACTGCTACAGGTGTTCCATTTAAAGATCAACCAGAGGAACGTAACACACTGGGCCGTTTCCAGAATTTTTCCCTGTGAAAAGTTAGATAAAAAATTTGAAATTTTTGAATAAATTTTTTCCAAGTCAAAATTTGAACTTTTTTTGCCAACTTTTGCCTGAAAAATGTCAGAAAAAAAACTTGAAGTTTTTTACCTAATTATTACTAAGAAAAATGTCTGACTATATACAGAGAAAAAACTAGGACAAAAATTTCGAGTTTTTGCAGCTAGTTTTTGCCAAGAAAAAATTAGAAAAAAAATTCAAGGTTTTTTTCAAGATTTTTGCTAGGGAAATGTTTCAAATTTTTGCTCAGGAAAAATTGTTGCACAAATGATCAGTTTTTCCCTTAATTTTTTACAAGCAAAAACTCCAAGTTTTTTCCCGGAAAAAACAAGGAGAAAAATTCGAAGTTTTTCTTCTCATTTTTTCTAAGCAAAAACTCAATCAAAAACTTGAAGTTTTTTCTTGGATTTTTTTCCAGATTTTTTCCAGGAAAAAATTAGTCTGCCGATGATCGTCCGATGAGCGGCAGGTGAGCGGCAGATGAGCGGCAGATGATCGGCAGATGATCGGCGGTGATCCTGCCTGATCACGTGGATGAGACTTGCCTTCTCCTCGTCTAACCTTTCCTTCAGATGTTCTATGTATTACTATATATTATATGTAGATTAGGTACATGGGTGATTTCTAAAGAATTCAGCCAAGAAACGTAGATAACGATGCCCTACTGCTTCATTCAAGCTTCGAATGCGACCGACTCGAGGATTCAAGCCGTTTTCCAACTGGACAAGCTGTTCCGGGAATGGATTAGGGTTCCGCGGCACATTCACCAGCAGTTTGGTGACCGGCGTTTGGGACGGTGGCATGGTAAACGCGAAGAAGGGATTTCGCGACCCCGAGTGAGAAAGCTGGGATGAGTCGTTGTGGCGGGGGGATCGAGGGTAGGAAGGAGCACATTCTTGTAGAACATCGACACCTCAGAGATCGGTGGTTGGTGGCAAAGGCTAAGTGGTTCTGACGTACAGAAGGGGAGCAGTGCTTGCCAGTGGTGGGTCGACGTCCATTGAAGTTGAGGTGATAGACGGCGGAGAGCGGGGGAGTTGGTGAGCTGTGGATTGTACGACATCCCACAGCGGTGGCAAGCTTAAGACCAGGCCTAGGAAGCCTCCGCAGCGTAGGACGCCTGACGGAGGGACGGACGGAAGTGCTGGTAGTGGAGGAAGAAGAAGAAGAAGAGTTTGATGGGATCACACATTCTCGGACAATCCGCGCCGACGATCGTCGATGATCGGCGATCTTATCTGAGCACGTGTGATCCCATCAAACCACGTCTTGTTCTTCTTCCACCACCTCCGTCAGGCGTCCTACGCTGTGGAGGCCCATTCTGGTCTTTCCACCGCTGTGCAGCGTCGTACACTGCTCAGCGCTGCTCATCCTCAAGCCTCAAGCCTCAACGCTCAATGCTCGTCGCTCGTCTCCAGCTTGAATATCGAAGTTTCGGCGATTCCCAAAAAAACCAAGTACAAGTCCACCGCTCGTTAGTTGCAAACCACTCGTTAGTTGTAAGTGCACATTTTGTGAGTAGAGCAACGGTGACTGACACGACTTGAAGCATTTCAATGCCAGCCAGCCGTCGATGTCGTCGCTCATAATATTGATCGTCGGACTCGTGTTTGGCGTGGAGGTTGATTAGGGTATAGCGGGCTGCATATACCTACCTCTCCCTGTGCGCAGATCGCATGCAGCTCCCAAATTGGGCCCAAGGTCGCGTCGACAGTGGGTCCGACACGTTCTCGGACAATCCTCGGCTACCATCGGCGACCATCGGCGACCTTGTCCGACCACGTGTGATCCCATCAAACTCATCTTCTTCTTCTTCCTCCACCACCAGCACTTCCGTCCGTCGTCCCTCCGTCAGGCGTCGTACGCTGCGGAGGCTTCCTGGTCTTGCCACCGCTGTGGGATGTCGTACAATCCACAGCTCACCAACTCTCCAGCTTTCCACCATCTATGCGTTGATTACTATGGCCATTGTCATTTTGGAAACAAAACAACGAAGCCTTTAAAATCCTTCGCCACAACAACGTTTGGCCGCACATCTTCCTCTCAACCACGATGGACGTCGACACACCAAGCACTTCTCCCCCTTCTGCACGTCAGAACCACCCGTACCCCGCCTTCGCCGCCGACCAACCACCGATCTCTGAGGTGTCGATGTTCTACGAGAATCTGCTCTCTCCTGCCCCTCAATCTTCGCGCCCCAACGCCTCATCTCAGCTTTCTAACCAACTTGGGCAGCACACTCCATTGGGGTCGCGAAATCCCTTCTTCGCGTTTACCGTGCCACCGTCCCAAACGCCGGCCACCGAACTGCTGGTGAATGCGCCGCGGAACCCTAATCCATTCCCGGAACAGCTTGTCCAGTTGGACAACGGCTTGAATCCTCCAGTCGGTGGCGTTCGAAGCGCGAAACGAAGTCGGATCGAAGAGTCGGAGACGCCAAAGGCTCTAGCCAACGCTCCCCCGTTCCAAGGTTGCTTTCTCGTTGCTATTCAAGCTCGCTCAGCTCAATGTCCACAGGAAGTAAATGCGGGCCTCAAGCATAGCGAGTACATACAAACCCACCGGTCCATACTTCGACAACAGGCTGCGGAGTATCGTGCCAAGGCCGAGGTATTAGCCGGCGAGGTCTCCCGCCTTCAGGGTGTCAACGCTACACAAAATGCTCATCTGCTAGAAATGCTTGAGGCATTTGGGACTCTTAAGGGGCAGCACGAAGCGCAGGAGGCCCAATGGGAGGAAACTGTAAGTGTTCGTCATTCTCACCGTATGTAATTTCTAACCAGTTGTAGTTCGAGCGACATGAGCAGGAGATGACTGAGCTCACAGCGAAACTGACCGCCGATGCCAATGCCAAGCTGGCTACGCAAGCGAAAATTATGGAGGAAAAGCAAGCAGCAGCGAAAAAGAGTAGAGAAGAAGAGCAAGCTGCCGAGAAAGAAAGCAGAAAAAAAGAGCGAGAAGATGCACAGGTGAGTGATAAGTGGTTTTTGGTCTCTCTCTTTAACCCAGTTCCAGATGGAGAGAGAAACTGAACTCATCAAGCTACGTGCTCAAACGGCGCAAGCTAACGCAACTCGGAAACCTGGCTTCCGTCGTGGAACTCGTGAGAGTCTCCAACATCTCAAGAACCCCACCACCCCTTTCGTGAAGCTTCCATTTGTGCCCAGCAACAACGACTCGAATTCCAGTCCCGAGCCAAGCGAGGATG